TTTTAAATGAAAAAAAATATAAATTTTCAGTGAAAAAATTAGAATGAACTTGTTTTGTTCAAAAATTTTCACTGAAATAATATTGGATTTTTTGACCAGCTGTAATTGTCCTAGATCCTTTATCCTCTACATGCAACAGGTAATAGTTTATTTTGGAGAATAGGTTTTCTATGATTTACAGGCGTTATTTGATCAATGATGAGGGGCAGGAAGGAGGGTTGTTCTCAGATGTTTGGGTCTCAGCCTCACATCAAGAGAGTGTTTGAGATGATTATAGTTGTCTTTGTAGTTTCCAGGAAGAAGGTGGGTGAATGGGTGTGGGTTAGACATATTCCTTATTAATTTGCCTTGGATATGTGGTTTATTACAGTGACATTGTACATAGTGGGCAAGATGTGAAAATATTGTAGTCTCTTTACTATAACAGGAATGTATGATGGGTAGTGTTGTTTTGTTTATCATGTGATACTGGACAGCTGGCTTATAAAGCAAGGATCAAGGATAGTCTAGTTTGCTACATGGCTCTTATGTGGTCTCTTCATATTAGTATGCTTAATATGAAACATTACAGGAAGAACACTGAGAATACAGTAGAAAAAGTGATGATGTGTGGCTGTCAGTGTGTCCCACACAGATGTAGAGCAATCAGAGATAGGAAGACAGGGTAGAGTTAAGGTTATTTGCACTACGTGAACTCTAAATTCCCAAACTTTCAAATGTTTGGTATTTGGGAAACTTAGGCCCAGATCCCCCAAAGGTATTCGGGTGCCTAACTCTATCCTCAAAGGTATTTAGGTACCTAACTCCCATTGATATCAATGAGAGTTAAGTGATCTGTGAATAACTGGGCCTTTGTCCTTAATCTACAATTCCCAGTTTTTAAACATTTAATAACTACCAAGTAGAGGGAGAGGAAGCCTTTGGAAGGTCCAGGACTAATGTAGCATTTACAAACTTCCTGTGAGGCTTAAAAGCCTCAGAAGAAGTATTGTGGTAGCATGGAGCCTTCATCTGGTGAATGTTTAATTTTAAATCCCACATGTAGTAACCAGCAAGCACAAATAAAGGGTTAGAGTCTGCTCTCAGTCAGACTATTGAAATAGTGGGTTAAATTGTCCCTTCAAATACATTTACACAGCTTCCAGAGAATCCAGAATGAGTTGTGTGCATCTGTGTCTGAGGGGGAAAACTTGGCCTCATTTGCTTCAATGGAGTTATTCTGGATTTACACCAGTGTGACTCAGAGTATAATTTGGTCCACAGCTTTTAAGAAGCCACAGTCCAAGTTCCTCTAGTAACTCTGTAACTTCTCAGACTTTTTTTTTAAGAAAGTCAAATTGCTCCAAAAATCACATCCCCTTTCAAAAACTAGTCAATCCATACTAAAGTAAATAGAATAAACAAATCTAGAGTTGCCAGGCCAAGATGTTTTTGAAATATCAAGTAGAAAAAAAGCTTAGGAAACTTCTAAAAAGCGAATCATCTTTTTCTTTTAATCTCTTATATCTATTGTAATAATTGATAATATACCTTGTTTCATTAACTTCAGACTTTCCTGAACATGTCTCTTTAGGTTCTGTAGAAGTATACACATGACATTTCAGGGAAATTGGTTTCCCTTTGCTGAAATTCTAGGACAGGGGTGGCCAAACTGCAGCTTGTGAGGCACATGTGGCTCTTTTACAGTTGTTGTGTGGCTCGCAGAGCTCCCTCTGCGCTCCCCCCCTCCCCATTCTCTGCCTACCAGACTGGGAGAGGAGTGGGGAGGGGAGAGCTCGGAGCTTCTGCCCTGCAGTGGGGTGGTGGGGCTAGAGGCTTCTGCTCAGCGGGGGGAGGGACAGGGGTGCTGGAACAATTTTTATAGTAGGGGTGCTGAGAGCTATTGTACCAAACTGTAAACATTGTATATAATGGAAACAACTTCAAGCCAAGGGGTGTGGCAGAACCCCCAGCACTCCTACTTACAGTTCCTATGGGGAGGGAGGTCTCAGTGCTTCAGTCCCACAGAGGGTGCCTGCCAGGGCTTGGGGCTTCAGCAGGAGTGGGGCAGGCATACCCTGCGAGGCAGAAGCCCCAAGCCCCAGCTGGCACCTCCCATGTGGGGCAGAAGCCCTGAGCCCCGGCTGGTGCTTCCTATGTGGGGCAGAAGCCCCGAGCCCCTGCAGGCATGCCCAGCTCTCAAATTTGTTAAGATTACTGTATGTGGCTCGGAGAGTCAGTACGTTTGGCCACCCCTGTTAGAGGGGTTCAAAATCATGCTTTAAATGGAAACCTATGACAAGCTGAACTAGAGAGACTACAGTAACTAACTGTTTAAATGTTTGATTGTTGAATAGTAAAAGTTCACTCCTGATGTTTTGGATTTCTTCATTTCTTAAAGATGGTCATTTTTCTCCAGTGTTAAACTGCAATATAATTTTGATTGTAACCACTTTATTTTAAACTTTCCCGTACCATTATGCCATGACTTCATATGCACCAAGTATGCATGACAGGTTTCAGAGTAACAGCCGTGTTAGTCTGTATTCGCAAAAAGAAAAGGAGTACTTGTGGCACCTTAGAGACTAACCAATTTGAGCATAAGCTTTCGTGAGCTACAGCTCACTTCATCGGATGCATACTGTGGAAAGTGTAGAAGATCTTTTTATATACACACAAAGCATGAAAAAATACCTCCTCCCACCCCACTCTCCTGCTGGTAATAGCTTATCTAAAGTGACCACTCTCCTTACAATGTGTATGATAATCAAGGTGGGCCATTTCCAGCACAAATCCAGGGTTTAACAAGAACGTCTGAGGAGGGGGAGGGTAGGAAAAAACAAGGGGAAATAGGTTACCTTGCATAATGACTTAGCCACTCCCAGTCTCTATTCAAGCCTAAGTTAATTGTATCCAATTTGCAAATGAATTCCAATGCAACAGTTTCTCGCTGGAGTCTGGATTTGAAGTTTTTTTGTTGTAATATCACAACTTTCATGTCTGTAATTGCGTGACCAGAGAGATTGAAGTGTTCTCCGACTGGTTTATGAATGTTATAATTCTTGACATCTGATTTGTGTCCATTTATTCTTTTACGTAGAGACTGTCCAGTTTGACCAATGTACATGGCAGAGGGGCATTGCTGGCACATGATGGCATATATCACATTGGTGGATGTGCAGGTGAACGAGCCTCTGATAGTGTGGCTGATGTTATTAGGCACTGTGATGGTGTCCCCTGAATAGATATGTGGGCACAGTTGGCAACGGGCTTTGTTGCAAGGATAGGTTCCTGGGTTAGTGATTCTGTTGTATGGTATGTGGTTTCTTCACTTCCGCAGGTGGGTATTGTAGTTGTAAGAATGCTTGATAGAGCTCAACATTTTTATGGCTGACTTAGAACAACGCTTCCTCAGCTCTCGTCCCCTAACGCCCCTACTCTATTTGCGCTATATTGATGACATCTTCATCATCTGGACTCATGGAAAAGAAGCCCTTGAGGAATTCCACCATGATTTCAACAATTTCCATCCCACCATCAACCTCAGCCTGGTCCAGTCCACACAAGAGATCCACTTCCTGGACACTACAGTGCTAATAAACAATGGTCACATAAATACCACCCTATACCAGAAACCTACTGACCGCTATTCCTACCTACATGCCTCCAGCTTTCACCCTGACCACACCACACGATCCATCGTCTACAGCCAAGCTCTGTGATATAACCGCATTTGCTCCAACCCCTCAGACAGAGACAAACACCTACAAGAGCTCTATCAAGTATTCTTACAACTACAGTACCCACCTGCGGAAGTGAAGAAACAGATTGATAGAGCCAGAAGAGTTCCCAGAAGTCTCCTACTATAGGACAGGCCTAACAAAGAAAATAACAGAACGCCACTAGCCGTCACCTTCAGCCCCAACTAAAACCCCTCCAATGCATTATTAAGGATCTACAACCTATCCTGAAGGATGACCCAACACTCTCACAAATCTTGGGAGACAAGCCAGTCCTTGCCTACAGACAGCCCCCCAACCTGAAGCAAATACTCACTAGCAACCACATACCACACAACAGAACCACTAACTCAGGAACCTATCCTTGCAACAAAGCCCGTTGCCAACTGTGCCCACATATCTATTCAGGGGACACCATCATGGGGCCTAATAACATCAGCCACACTATCAGAGGCTCGTTCACCTGCACATCCACCAATGTGATATATGCCATCATGTGCCAGCAATGCCCCTCTGCCATGTACATTGGTCAAACTGGACAGTCTCTACGTAAAAGAATAAATGGACACAAATCAGATGTCAAGAATTATAACATTCATAAACCAGTCGGAGAACACTTCAATCTCTCTGGTCACGCAATTACAGACATGAAAGTTGTGATATTACTACAAAAAAACTTCAAATCCAGACTCCAGCGAGAAACTGTTGCATTGGAATTCATTTGCAAATTGGATACAATTAACTTAGGCTTGAATAGAGACTGGGAGTGGCTAAGTCATTATGCAAGGTAAACTATTTCCCCTTGTTTTTTCCTACCCCCCCCCCTCCCTCAGACGTTCTTGTTAAACCCTGGATTTGTGCTGGAAATGGCCCACCTTGATTATCATACACATTGTAAGGAGAGTGGTCACTTTAGATAAGCTGTTACCAGCAGGAGAGTGGGTTTGTGTGGGGGGAGGGAGGTAGAGGTGAGAAAACCTGGATTTGTGCTGGAAATGGCCCAACTTGATTATCATACACAAAGTAAGGAGAGTGATCACTTTAGATAAGCTATTACCAGCAGGAGAGTGGGGTGGGAGGAGGTATTTTTTCATGCATTGTGTGTATATAAAAAGATCTTCTACACTTTCCACAGTATGCATCCGATGAAGTGAGCTGTAGCTTATGAAAGCTTATGCTCAAATAAATTGGTTAGTCTCTAAGGTGCCAAAAGTACTCCTTTTCTTTTTAAGTATGCATGAGTAGCTTGGTTACCATGGTTACTGCATTGACATACTTGAAGTGGTTCTCACAGTCCAAGAGGCCTCAGTCCTGGGATTTTAATCAGTGCACCAAAGGCTTTTCTATATTCAAGTGGGCACAGAAAGGAGGCTGATTGCAATATTAGCTCGGGCACCTCTTGAGCCTGAAGACCTGAGGAGAAAATGTGAGTCTTGACATTCTTAATTACTCTCAAACTCTGGGAATTTACATGAGCAAAAAGTAGTTCATACAACAAAACAGTTTATTTTAATATCTGACTATACCTGAAGGTTCCTGTTAGATGTAGCTATGAATCAAAATATTTGTCTACTTTGCTGAATTGGCTCTGAGGAGGCTGTTGTATAAGTGAAGCAACAATAATTTGTTGTGCACGTGTTATGCAGTATTTTCTTAAAATTTCTTAACTGAGAAGTATGTTTCCAAAACAAAAATTAAATTGCCTTATTTTTCTAAACTGGAACTCCATTTACTGAGCTCCATCTGAAAGCTAAAAGCAGGTGCTTACATGCTCAAATGCAAGAGAATTACAAGAAGGAGGGACTCTTTTTAATACAGTACTTTGTTCTATTGTGCTAACAGCAACACACTTACCTAGCTCAGAGCTCCAGTGAGGTGTGGTGTGGTGTGGTGAGGGAGGGTGGGAATGCACAGGGAGCCTTCCCCCATTTGCTTGACGTGTACAAGGGCCTGTCACAATTGCAGTTTGGGGGAGCAAAGGGGCTGCTTCCTCTATATACCTCTGGAGAGGCACAGAATCCCAATGGCTGTCCTTAAGAACTTCACTCTCCATAGCTGACCACTGGCTCTTTCTTCTGGAAAACAGTCTAAATTAAAGTTAAGGCTGGTAAAAAGTTGTCAATAACTTATAAATAGAGCTGGTCAAAAATTGTTGGTCAAAATGTTTGTTTGGAAAGAAACTGTCTTTTTTTATACAAGTTTTTTTCATTAAATGTCCAAATTTTGTAAAAAAAAAAAAAAGTGTTTTCAGTAAATGAACAACCAGAAATAAATAAAATAATAATAATTATCAGTTGGCCCACTCTCCCATGGTACCAGTATCTTAGGCATTATATTACTTAATCTCCTAGAAAATTTTTATACAGAAACTAACTTAATAGAAATGATGTCTGCTGGTCAACTAGGAAACAAAAAATTATAACTAATATCTCAATCTTTGCAGACAACTTTCCTGAAAAGAAATGTCCATATATGACATGGTGGGAAAAGGATTTGAATAAATGAATTACCCCAAAGGAATGGGCTTTGATCTGGAAAAGAGGACTCAGTTTGTGGTATGATAAAAGAAAATGTCTTTAAGATACTGTTTCAATGATATTTCACAGCGGTCAGGTTAAAAATATGTACAATATATAGATTGAATGGGGATAAATGTTGGCCAAATTGGGATGAAAGAGAAGATTTAATGCATATATGGTAGACAGGTCCAGTTGTTAAAGAGTATTGGGATGTGACTCATAACCAACTACTGCAAACTCTTAGCTATCTATTATCAATTGATCCTTTGTTAATCCTCCTGGGGTTTCCTAGGGGGATGTCTACACAGCAAAGAAAAACCTGCAGCTGCACAGTGCCAGCCGACTTGGGCTCAGGCTGAGGGGCTTTGCATTGCTGTGTAGACTTCCAGGCTTGGGTTGGAGGCTGAGCTCTGGGACCTTCCCACCCTCCAGGGCCCTAAATCCGGGCTCCAGCCAGATTCAGGAAATCTTGGCAGGCAGACCAGTTGGAGGAAAAGGAGTGATAGGAAATTTGGTTGTCAATCATTATTTCTATGGGACTGTACTATTGTCTGGGTGGTATTTTCTCAAGAATGCAAGGATTCATTTGCTTGCACTGGTTTCCCTCCCCTCTGTTATATTTTCTTTGATTATGTTTGGAGTGGCTAAGTATTTCTCAAACAACTGGAAGTCCTGTAATCTGTGAGTATGAAAAATGACCATCTAAAATTGTTTTCCAAATACTGTGTGTTTGACAATAAACTGGACAGATAGGTTACTTAAAAATAAAGGAAAATGCTACCCTTGTATTTTGTGAGCCACACGCAATGCCATATGCTCTAAAGCAGTGGTTCCCAAACTTGTTCCGCTGCTTGTGCAGGGAAAGCCCCTGGTGGGCCAGGCCGGTTTGTTTACTTGCCGCGTCGCAGGTTTGGCTGATGGCGGCTCCCAGTGGCCGTGGTTCACTGCTCCAGGCCAATAGGAGCTGCTGGAAGTGGCGCAGGTCAAGGGAGGAAGCAATGGTTTTCAGCCTGTGGTCTGCAGATCCCTGGGGGTCCGCAGACGATGTTTAAAGGGTCCACAAAAGGTGACTATGAAAATAAAGTTTCAGATCCCAGAAAAGGCATTCAATTTTTCTGATCAAAATTATGTGACTACCCCCACCTACAAGTCAAAACCCAGAAGTGTTGTTGTTACCAGAGAAGCCAACAGTTTGGCACCCTTTCTCACACTGCGTCAAATGCCAGTCCGAGCACATGTAACATTTATAGTTGAATTCTGTTCAGTCAGTTTTCAGTCTAAGACTTCTATGGTAGGGGTCCATGAACCACAGTCTGAATTTCCAAAGGGGTAGGACCTCCATCTGAAATTTTTCAGGGGTCCACAAATGAAAAAAAGGTTGAAAACCACTGCTCTAAAGAACAAAATGCAGAAGGCTGGATTGTACAGAGAAAGTAGACTATGTGGAAAAAGCAGCACAAACTGTATCTGTGAAAATGAGACAGATTCATGCATATATCTAGTTACTGTAAAGTGCCATCAGCAAGTTCCAGAATCAGTACTTTGTCTTCAGATCAGATGACCTGTATATAATTGTAAAAACAAAGTATGTAGATCATACTTGTAGGATAGGACACTGTATCCTGGAAAGCAATGACACAGAAAAGGACTTAGGAGTTATGAAAGATAAACAGCTGAACACAGAGCAGTGCTGTGGCTAAAAGGGCTAATGTGACCTTTGGCTGTATAAGCAGGGGGAATATCAAGTAGACGTAAGGCAATGGTATTACCGCTGCATTTAACTGATGATACCAGTACTGGAATACTGTGTTCTGCTCTGGTGTCCACACTTCAAAAAAAGATGTTGACAAACTGGAAAGAATTCAGAAAAGAGCTACAAGAATTATTAGAGGTCTGGAAAACATGTCACTACTAATAGTAGCGGTGATAGTAAATATTAATATTATGGTGGCACCCAAAAGCCCCAATCTGGATTGGGGCCCCATTGTGCGGCATACTGTATAGACACAGAAAACAGATAACTCCTGCACTGAAAACCGAAAAGCTAAAGAAAGGAGAGACCTTAGGCACTCAATCTATTTAGTTTATTGGAGAGAAAATTAAAGAGGTGTTTTGATCATGGCAGGGGTGCTGGAAGGGGGGCAGCCTGCGGGCAATGCCCCCCCCCCACTTTTTACTGGTTGTAAAGTTGAGAGATGGGGGGCAAAGAGGAGCAAGCAGAGGGTGGGATTTTGTGGGGAAGAAGTGGTGCGGGAGCGGGGCCTCAGGGTAAGGAACGGTGTGAGGGCAGGGGCTTGAGGGAATGGGTGGCGTAAGGGTGGGGCCTTGGAGAGAAGGGGCGGTGCAGGGGCAGGTCCCCAGCGGGGAGGGGCAGCACAGAGGCTAGGGCCAGGAGTTCAGCACTGTTGGCCCCCCCATTTTTAGGGACCTTCTGCCGCTCCTGGATCATGGTCTATAAATGCCTAAACAGGGATAAGATTTCTGATTCTGGGAGGCTCTTTAATCCAGCAGGCAAAGGCATAACAAGATATAAGGCTGGAAGTTGAAGCTATATAAATTCACACTGAAAATATGGCACAAATGTTTAACAGCAAAGGTTGTTCAGCACTGAAACAGCTTATCAAGGAATGGGGTGGATCCTCTGTCACTTGCAGTCTTTAAATCTAGAGCTGGTTGAAACTTGGAATTTCCTTTCCATGGGAAGGTCCAACACTTTAGAAAACTAGAAATTTCTACATTTTCCACAGGATGGAAATTGTGAATTTTTTTGTTTTAGACAAATCAAACAGTTTTGGTTTGATTCTTTTCTAAATGAAATGGAGCAGCTGGCTGTCCAACTCCTGGGGGACTCCCCAAACTGTGTGACCCAGAACTCCCCATGCTTCCTGGGCTGCCGGGCTCCCAGCCATGGAGCAGGGGGTGTAGAAGACCTGAGAGCCCCAGCTTGAACTTGGGCTCTCAGGCTCCCTGCTGCAGAGCTGGGAGGCTAGACCTTGAGAGTCTGTGCTACAGGCAGGGCTCCCAGGTTTCTGGCTCTGTGGAAAGGAGCCTGGAAGCCCAGGGATCCCTTCCCCCAAGACACTATGTAGGGCAGGGCTGTCCTGGAGCTGCTGACACTAGAAGCCCGGCTCCAGAGCAGCACACAGGTAAGCTGGCGGGAAACTAGGCAGGTTTCTAATGGAAACCTGTCTGTGTTTCAGTGAAAGTTCATCAAAACCAAAATGTTTCTACAAAATATTTCAGTTTCATTGAATTGGCATTTTCTGATGAAAAACTGGTTCATTGGAAAATTCCCAACCAGCACTATTTAAATAAAGAGTGGCTGTCTCTCTAAAATGTATGTTCTATGTTAACTACAAGTTATTGAGTTGATGCAGGAATCACTAGGTGAAATTCTTTGGCCTGATTTAGGCATGAGGTCAAAACAGCTGGTCATAACGGTCCCTCTTCTGGCCTTAAACTCTATGACTCTGTGTTCATGCTGTGACAGATTTGGCAATTTCCTGCAATATCCTTGAAAGACCTTATTGCATTAAGTGTATGTATTATTGTGGGCTGGGATCGTATGTAACCTCTCTGGAGGGTGACAGATGTAAGACCTGGGAGTTAGAAAGACTATACTGAAAATGTGCCAGAGAAGTATGGACTTTTGGGACAATAAGTGTTAAGTGGATTTCCTGCGGAATCCCTTGGGAGAAGTTAATGCAAATTCCCCAACTCCAGTTATGCAAAAACCCAGCCTTTTGAAGCTGTGCCCTGAGGAGAGGGTCATTTTCTGCCAATTACCTGTTACAGAAGGCCAAGACCAAAGGCCCCAGCGGTATAAAGAAACAACCTTTGTTCTAATCCTGGATCTTTTTTAGATGGATATGAACTTGTAACCACAGGGGAAACCCAGCTGTGGGTTTTGAAGGACTAAAACCTACCAGTGCCGTAGGCTGGAGTTGCAGGGGGATGATCTCTAGTGAGTATTTTAGCATGCGTTTAGGAACTTTTATTGTTTTTATGTTTTCTCTGTAATGCTTTTACTTGAAGAATAAATGTGGTTGCTTAGAAGGAGCTGTGTGGTAACTTGTAACTCTGGGCATGACACTGGTCATAAAGCAAAGCACAGGTGCTGGCCTTTTCAGGCGGACTGGCTTGCTGACGCTATCACGGTGTAAGGCAGGGAACTACGCAGCCTTCATATCCCCAGTCAGGAGGGAGTGATGGCTGGGAGCCAGAAGCCTAAAGACAGTGCTGTTGGTGGGCCATCGAGGGGCAATACAGCTGCAGCATCCCTGGAACTTTGACATACGCAACTAGATGGGTGATACGGTTCTCAAAATTGGATCTTTTAGGGGAGACTGTCATCATAAGCACTTATTTATACTTGCCTCATTATTAGAGGCTACCAGATGGTGCAGATTTAGCAGCACTGTTTTCCTATTAACAATGGATAAGATACTGCAAAGTCTACCAGTATTTAATCCTGGGGAAAATCATGACCTGCACTATCAAAATTTGGAGGCTGATTTAAAGGGATTACTGAATAAAATCTAAAAGGTGCAAGTGCTTTTATGTGAAACCCTCTGTAGAATATGGTAAAGTCATTGTACATTCTAGAGGAGTTCATTCATCCCTTGAATGGGAGTTGAGGGCACTCATTGCCTCACAGGAGTTCTTAACACTTGGCAGGACCAGGCCTTTTATGACTAAGGCCCTGACCCTGCGGAGATTTATGCATATGCCTCATTTTAAGTGTGTGAGTAGTCCTATTGCACTTAATGCCCTCATTGAGTTCAATTACATGCTTAAAGTTACTCACATGCATGTGGTTTTGCAGGGCCTAAGGGCCACATAGGCAGCTCATGAACTGTACAAGCTGCAGGCAGGCAGCCAGCAGTCTGGAGGAAGTTCACATCAGCCCTGGCACACCAAATGCTCCACTTACAATAATGACTTAGTCCAGATGACCATTTGAACATGGTGGGCCTCATTGCAATGCGCTATTGAGGCCTAAAGGCTGGGCTTGCAAATTGCTGTGGTGGGGACTG